TATCTAAAAAAATTAAAGAAAAAATTAAATAATTTTAAATTATAGCGCGTATAAATAAGATTGAATATCCGGCCACTACGTGGCGTTGTCAGCGGCGCGAAGCTCGGATCGATCGTATTAGAGCGATACATTTTTTTAAATAGATTAAGTAGAGTACTCCTGTAATACGATATATACTTAAATTATTTTGGTACGTATAATATATAGAAATGCCTGATTTATCATTAGAAACTCAAAGAATAAGCAATTGATTTTACTGAAGAGTTATACGCCGAGTTTGAGGTCATACTCTTTTCTTTTTACCGCGTATACTTTAGATCGCTTAACGATTAGCGCTGCTCTGCAGCGACGTTGCCAGATCTTCGTAGTCTATTTCATTTGCGTATATGTGACGCGCGTGCGGACAAATGATACTCAATATTCGCGCTTTATTTACTGTTCATTTGTGAAATCTAACGACACGTGTATTAAAAAAAATTCTATTGGTCAACCTTCATCCTCTTTTTAACAACAACAATTATATTCGTGAGTGTTTAATAATATCGTTTGCACGTAACAATGACTCGCACTACGAAGCACAAATTTTGCTCGCCAATATTAATGATATCGGAAAAAATTGATTTTAATGATATGTAAAAATAGAACATTTCTCATATATAAAGGTGGATTCTTTTAGAGAATAATAATCGATATATTTATTTGTAAGTGCAAATAATCTAGTCTCAATATTAGTAATGCTGTTGAATATTTAAAATTAAGTTGATGCAACTTTCAAAACACCTGTAAGTTTTATATCATATATTTAAATTTGTACAGATTTTTATTAAAAGAATATTCATTTTGTATTACATTTGGATTCATGTCAGGATAGTTTTGACACGAACAAAGTCTTATTTATTTATCTTTGATATTTAATGAATGCCCGCATAATTAAAATATTAATAAAAAAAAAAAAAAAAAAAGAAAAAAGGAAGGGATAGATTTAGTTCGACCACGCGCCTTTATTTTCTGTAAATCAAATATCTCTTTGTAAACGGGGGTAGATTTGGCAACAGCGCTTACAATGTTACGCAAGGCAGCTGTAGTCAGCGCGTGTGTTTTTGTATTTGCAACGCGATGCACCGTGGGCCGGGCAAAAGCCAAGATGGCGGCAGCCGTGTTTGGCGAAACGCGTTTAGAATGAGCTTCTTAAATACATATCACAAAGATGCTTCACCCTAAGCGCACGTTAAATTCAACGCATTGTGATTTCTTAGCTCACACAATAAATATCTAACTTGCCGAGTTAGACGAGTGATGCTTACTTGACGCGACATCTAATAAAAACCCGTAACGAGGGAAAAAAAAATTTTCATCTCGTCTACTCTATCAGAATTGCAGAAGGTTCCTTCGAAGGAGTATATCTTCATAGACGATCGTGTTCATCGTTTAATTATATTTTCATTCCTCATCGATACACCGGAAAGAAAAAAGACATTTTTTCTATCATGGTAAGATGTTTCTTTTTTTTAATATTTTCATTGTCCATTCGCAACGACGCGCGCTTCTTATGCATGCGCTTTTTTCTCATAGCTTCATGAGACAAACTAACCTAAGAATTTCTTGTATATCTCTTTTTGTCATTAATTTTTGTATCCATTTATATCATAGATCATTATCTACAATACATTTTTATTATTCCTTAATTCGTTTTTTCTTACATTTAAAAAAAATTCACAATTGTTTATGTCGAAAACCGTCGTGCGTACTTTTTGTTTTTTCATTTGGATATTCAAACAATCTATTGTATTTTTATAACAAGTAAGTTTTTTCTTTTTATAGTTATAAATATTAATGCGTTAATAATTTTCTTGTTCTACATCAAATTATTCCTAAATATCTGTGATTTTGTTTAAATAATACTTTGCATAATTTGTTATTAATTAATATAAATATATCATTAGAATGGTCGATTCTATTCTTGTATAATTAATGCATGATATATGTATTTAGGCTACGAAAAGATTTAAGGAAACAATGAGCGATGATACAAGTGGTAGTGATTTCGATGATGATGAGGATCCTGATAAAATCGAAGTACCTGGTAAATTTCTTTCTATTCATAATTAGTTATATCATTAATAATATAACTAATGTTTTTTTTATGAATAAGTATAATTATTTAATGTTGTAAACCTATTTTTCGTAGGCGGTGGTAAAGATCTCGCAACTGCTGCTGGAATTGCAAATATTAAAGATGAAAAGCCTTTAGAAGTACCATCTAATGTTACAAACAAAGGACAAACTGTTGCAAATGGTATGTACATTGTAGCAAGTAAATTTCCTTATTTATCACTTGTGTTTATATATATATTTGTGCAAATGAGTTTGTTATGAAAAAGAACTGTCACACAAAGTATTACTTATGTAATATTTATTTGACAGCGTTGAATCAAAAACTAAGTAACAAAATACCAGGTGGATTAGTAACTAAAACTGCACCACCAGGGTATGAAATGGTACGTGTGGGAGGATCGCAAGGTACTCCACCTAATTTTGTTGGTGCCAACCAACTTAATCAGTTGGGTCAATTAGGAGCTGGTGGACCATATAACTTCCCAGGTTTAGCAAGTCTTGCAGGATTCAATCCTGCGGCATTTTTACAACAGAGTAAGTCTGTAATTAATTTGCCTTTTGCTAGCCTGGGTATATTATATTAGGTTGTCCTATAAGTTCCTTCTTTTTTTTTTATGCGACTTCAATAGACGATATTTGTTGTTTAATGCTGATTTACTGTGTAATATATGAATCATTCTGTTCTATTACCTTCTTCCATCTCTCAGGAAGCCTCATTATGCTCTCTTTCTAAAATTGTTAAGACTTATTTGCAAAATATTCGTCGTTTTATTTCGCGTTTTTATTTCGCTTTCGGATTTGTGACATTTATCACGGAGAGAATTTTTTAACGAGAGAAACAAGTAATACTCGGATGGAGCAAGGTCTGGGGAGTACGAAGGATGAGATAGAACGTCCCAATCAAACTATGAGAGTTTCTGTCTTACGGCCAACGTAATATGCGATCATGCAGGCCATTGCGAAAAACGACACCTCGTCGGTTCGTACCGATTCACATATCCCATCTTGATTAAACGATTATGTACTGTTGCCCTGGAAATGTTAGTTGCTTCCACTATCTCGTGCACACTATATCGCGGATTTTCAACGAGCATATTTTTGATAAGGTCCGTATCCGTCGTTGCTAGGCGTCTGCGGCAGTCTTCATCTTTCAAATCAAAATTGTTAGCTCTTAATTTCTTAAACCAATTGCGAACGGTTCTAATAGTCGTAGTACCACTTTTATAAACGTTGCAAATCTCGTCTGCAGTGTCCTTTGCACTACTATATTTTTTAAAGCAATGAAACATAACATGTCGCAAATGCTTCTTTTGGCTATCCATATTAACCGGCGTAGAAAAAGATTTTAAAAGAGGCTTTGTCACCAACAAAACGTACTTTGAAAGAGCTGTGAGGCGACTAAAATCGATGCCATAAACGGACAAAAGATAAGCCTGCATGATTACAAGCAATAGCCAGCTTGAAATCATGTATAGCGTGGCGCGGAAAGAACTTACGAGACAACCTAATAGTATTTTTTTTTTTTTTAAATTACTTTCTTTATTTAATTTCTTCTGTGCATACATCATTTTATTTTTTATTATTTTATTAAATTATTTAAATATGTACACATGATGCTTTTATGTAGATCTTATAATTCTTTAGATGTTTAAAATAACTTTTTATTTAATGATATACTGCAGGTATGGATATGAATAATTTAATAGGAGGCTTCATGGGAATGGCTGGAATGAATATGGGTGGTGTTAATCCATTCGTACAGTTTCTCAATCAAAGTGGACTTCATCCAAATTGGCCTGCAGGTCTATCTGGTATGACTAAAATACTTTGTCAAAAAATGTTTCATATTACTTCTCTCGATTTATTATAATTATAATTATAATAAATAGGGAAAGCTGTATCACAATTATGGATGAATTCAGGTGATCCGACAAAAGTGGGCATGCAACCAACAATACCGGAAGAAGAAGAAGTAGATGACGAAGACATGGGTGTTGCTGAAACTTATGCTGACTATATGCCTACCAAACGTAAGCATGTTTTATTTTACTATTAATAATCAAAAATTCAAACAAGTTTTCTAACAAGTTTAAATTTCAAATGTACAGTCAAACGTGGGCGTAAACATCCAGATCCAGTTGTTGAGACAGCATCATTATCCAGTGTAGAACCCACAGACGTTTGGTACGAACTTTCTATACCAGAAGAAACAATACGATCAGGAGCATTATCTGCTCTTCAATTGGAATCCATTACTTATGCATCCCAACAACATGAACATCTTTTACCGGATGGCACACGTGCTGGATTTCTTATTGGAGATGGAGCTGGTGTTGGTAAAGGACGAACTATAGCGGGCATCATATTTGAAAACCATTTAAAAAATAGGAAACGTGCCATTTGGGTATCCGTTTCTAACGATCTCAAATACGATGCTGAGCGTGATTTAAAAGACATTGGAGCATTGAAAATTGACGTACATGCGTTAAATAAGTTTAAATATGCTAAGATTTCTTCAGCTATTAATGGAAACGTTAAAAAAGGTGTAATATTTAGTACGTATTCGGCATTAATTGGTGAATCCTCACAAAGTGGAGGTAAATACAAAAGTAGACTAAAACAACTTTTGCAATGGTGTGGAGAAGATTTTGATGGATTAATTATATTTGATGAATGTCATCGTGCAAAAAATTTATGCCCCACTGGAAGTTCAAAACCAACTAAAACTGGTTTAACAGTATTGGAATTACAAAATAAATTACCTAAAGCACGAGTAGTATATGCTAGTGCCACTGGAGCTTCTGAACCTCGCAACATGGCCTATATGGTACGATTAGGTATGTGGGGTGAAGGAACACCTTTTCCTGAATTCAATGATTTTATCACTGCAGTAGAGAAACGTGGAGTAGGTACAATGGAAATTGTAGCGATGGATATGAAATTAAGAGGGATGTACATTGCTCGACAACTTAGTTTTCATGGGGTTGCCTTTAAAATTGAAGAAGTACCTCTGTCCAAGGATTTTACCAAAATTTATGATCACTCTGTAAGATTATGGGTAGAGGCTATGCAAAAATTCCAAGAAGCGGCCGAATTAATAGATGCTGAAAATCGTATGAAAAAAACAATGTGGGGTCAATTTTGGTCATCGCATCAACGCTTTTTTAAATATCTATGTATCGCAGCTAAAGTAAAGCATGCCGTTTCGGTAGCTCGAGAAGCTGTTAAATGTGGGAAATGTGTTGTTATCGGTTTGCAATCAACTGGCGAAGCACGTACTTTGGAACAACTTGAACGTGATGATGGAGAACTAAGTGATTTTGTTTCTACTGCTAAAGGAGTACTTCAAACTTTAGTAGAAAAGCATTTTCCAGCACCGAATCGTAATAGAATTCATCGTCTTCTTGGTTTGGATCTACCAAAAATGAATAAATTAGAAGAAGATTTTGTTGACGGGGCAGGTGGATCTGCTGGAGGAAGTAAAAGAAAACCAGTACGTCAAGCAGCTCAAAGAGCTTCTAAGAAAGTTCGAGCATGGTCTTCTGAAGAAGAGATTACAGATGAAGAAAAGAATGGTGATCATAGTTCTGGTTCAGAATTTAAATTAAGTGGAACAGAAAGTGAAGATGATCATCGAACTGATGAGGAAAGTAATATAAGTTCTGATTTTAATCCATTTTACAGTGACAGTGATTCTGATGTTGGTAAGTATACATATATAACTAATATAGAATATTTAAATTAATGCTAACGAATATGACATAAGATTAATTTTTTTTTTTTTTTTTTTTTTTTTTTTTTCAATAGATCCATGGGATAGGAGAAAGAAGAAGGGTGGCAAGAAACAAAAGAAACCAACTAAGAAACGTTTAAGTACACAGGATAAAATACAATCAATGCTGGAACACAAGACATCTAATAATAGGAATAAGCGTAACGGAGATACGGCAGCGACCGGAAATCATGGTAATGCATCTTCTTATAATCAAGGACCACCTCGGGATGCTATTGAACGTGCTTGTAGCATGAAAGAAGAATTATTAGCACAAATAGAGACCTTAGGAGAAAAGTTGCCACCTAATACGTTAGATCAATTGATCGACGAACTTGGTGGTCCGGAAAACGTTGCAGAAATGACTGGAAGAAAGGGTCGTGTTGTACAAACAGAAGATGGTGCAATACAATATGAATCTAGATCCGAAGTAGACGTTCCTTTAGAAACTCTTAACTTAACGGAAAAACAAAGGTAAATTTATTATTTTTATTTAAACAAATTTGATTATCATCTAGCGAAGAAAAAATGTATTAAATTGTTGTACGAGTTTTTTATTAGATTCATGGATGGTGAGAAAACGGTTGCGATCATTTCGGAAGCAGCTAGCAGTGGCATATCATTGCAAAGCGACAGACGTGCAAGAAATCAAATGCGTCGGGTACATATCACACTTGAACTGCCATGGAGCGCAGATAGAGCAATACAACAGTTTGGTCGAACGCATCGTTCGAATCAAGTCAATGCTCCGGAATATATATTCCTTATTTCGGATCTTGCAGGAGAAAGACGATTTGCTTCAATCGTTGCGAAACGTCTCGAAAGTCTTGGTGCATTGACGCACGGAGATCGCAGAGCTACCGAAACGCGAGATCTTTCGCAATTTAATATCGACAACAAATACGGTCGATCGGCTCTCGAAGCAACAATGAAAACTATAATGGGGTTTGTTCTATACATTTGTATTGTTATATATCTACTATATTTCTAAACGTTGTCGCATGTTTTATTTATATATGTTTATATAAATGTTCATTAAAATAATAGATACGAGCCACCATTGGTACCACCGCCGCAAGATTATAATGGCGATTTCTTCAAAGATGTTGCGGATGCACTTGTGGGTGTAGGACTTATTTGTAATAGTGAAAACATGCCTGGAGTTCTTACTCTAGACAAAGATTACAATAACATGTCGAAATTCTTAAATCGTATTTTGGGAATGCCGGTTGATCTACAAAATCGATTATTCAAATATTTTACCGACACTTTGAACGCCATTATCCTTCAAGCTAAGAAAACTGGACGTTTTGATATGGGTATTCTCGATCTTGGTACATCAGGAGAAAATGTTCGTAGAGTAAGACTTTATCGTTTCCTTCGAAAACACGCGACTGGTAAAGCACCTACTGAATTACACGTTGTCCATGTTGAACGTGGCATGAGTTGGACCGAGGCAATGGATCAATGGTCCAAATTAACTGGTGCCAAAGAAGGATTTTATTTAAGTCATCAAATAAGAAATGGTAAACAAACAGCTATTTTGGCAGTTGCTGTTGATATTGGTAAAAAGAAAAACGAAAGTAAAAAAGATCAGTTATACATGGTTTACAGGTACGTTAAATATATTTGTAATATTTTTTTTCTTTTTCTTTAACTCTCTATATAGAGGATACATTTAAATAAAATAAAAGACAACGAAAATGGAATGTTTTCAATATGTATATATATTTCTAGGCCGAATACCGGACTTCAATTACGTCAAGAAACGTTAGGTGAATTAGAGAAGAAATATAAAAAAGTTTCAACTGAAGAAGCAGAACCTCATTGGACGCAACAATATGAGGCATCCGTGGATACATGTTCGCACGCTTATTGGCGTGGCAATTGTAAAAATGTCACTCTTGGTATGGAGTGTGAAGTAGGACTACGAAGACGTTCTTACAACGTCTTAGCTGGTTCAGTTCTTAGCGTTTGGAGTCGCGTTGAAGGTGTACTTGCAGCGCGATCTGGACATAATTCAAAGATGCAAGTTGTCCGATTGAGAACTGGTAAATTTTGTTCCCCTATATTTCGAAGAAGTCATATTAACATGATTTACTCCTTAATTAATTTCATATTTACAGATGAAGGTTTGAAAATTGTAGGAACTCTTATTCCAAAATCTTGCATGGAAACCTTACGTCAAGCACTTTCATCAGATGCAGAAAATACTGAAGAATTAACATTTTGAATGCTTTATGAACAAAAGGTATAAATTATTTTTCAAAAATTTGTACTAAAGAGAGAGAAAAAAAAAAGAAAACTATGACACAGTAATGATTACCATTCATTTTCTCTTTCATTTTTCTTACAGATGAGGATAAAACCAATTAAATAATAGTATTAAGTAAACACATAATGAATGGGACGCATTAAAAGCATCGTGCAATCGTAAAGAACATGTTACTTGCACAAATCGGATTGACTACCATAGAGCACACATAATAATGTGTTGGGTAGAGGCTAAACTGTACCCATCAGTGTTGTAATGTATTTTCGTCACAGATTTAGCATGACAAGTGAAATAAACGCTCGAAATAAGCTTTTCCGAGTTGATAGTCAAAGAACTGGAAAAAAAGGACTTGACAGATTTGTACTGTCGTCACATATGTATTATTAAAAGAGATCTATCAAGTCCCGATGTAAACCTTCTAATAGGATCTAATAGAATCTTCTTTAATTTTAATCGATGACTATACTTGAGTCAAATCCATATTATAATTATATGAAATTTCCTCCCTTTTTTTTCTTTTTTTTTTTCAATATCTTTCGTTAGGAATGATGACATTTTAGATTGGATCGTGTCAATATATGTATAAATGTAATAATGCATTAGATTTCGTTTATTGTTAATTATTATTATTAAGAAAAGCTACATATTAAAATAATGAAATAAAATGTTGCATTCTATGTATTCGTATGAGAAAAAATGTAATTTATTTATTTTAATTATTCGAAAATGAGAAAATAAGACAGAAGATAAAACTTTTTATGAAGATTAATTATTGGTATTTGTGTGTTACGATCCAATCTATAACAAAAAATGTGACTGATTAGTGAGAATAGCCTATAAAGGGCTAAAGAAGTAATACTAACGCTGCATAAACTATTCGGACGATTTATTTTTCACTCTCATTATCAGAATATAAATGTATACGCAATTTTAAGTTTTATTTGATTGATAAGTTATATCATTAATTAACACGAAAAAGAAAACAAAATATTATTGCTACCATCGCTATAGCTACCATTACTGATATCACATTACCGCTATTACTATTAGCCGTAGATCTAGACTATAAAACTATTATCAATATTACTACAATGTAGGGAGACAAGATAATAACGTATTATATTACAGTGTAAGTTTGGCAACACGACGACTTGAAATAACAAAAATTATTTACTGTACGATAAATTGTTAGAAATCTTTTTCGTATAATAAATCATTGTCAAGTTATTTGAAGTCATCGTGTTATCAGATTCAACTTGTATAAGCGTCTTAGATTTTCCATATTTCATATTATTCAATACACAAATTTTTGTTTTCTGTATCGTCCTATTCGATTTCAATCAATCCAGTGTACATTTATTTTTAATTTCTTTTAATCTAATGACAATTACACACACACACACACATTGATTTATAATATTAAATAGAAAAGGAATAATGGCAAAATAATATCATCTAGTCTCCCAACATTTTCCATCTATTAATACTGTTTAGCATTAAAGAAAAACCTAGATTGAAACAGTACATACGATGATATATTTATATTCAAAAATCGAAATGCAGTCATGCTATTAATGCATGAGATAGATGTTTGTTCCTTCGTTTGTTTGTTTGTATGCCTGTGAAAGAGTTATGGATGGGTGCTGAGAACAAAATGGATGTCGTATTCCATCTTCTCTTTACAAACAAAAAAGAAAATAATAATAATAATAATAAAAGTTTAGATTAAAATATGTAGAATATTTTAGAATCGTTAATAAAATCTTGAGTAGAATTCCAGGCAAAATGCTGTAACACAACTTTGAGAAGTAACATTTTTCTTGTGATATAGCATGAAACAATTGATGGATATCAACACTTCCTTATATCCAGGGTCTCCCTTGCAGTAATGCGTAATATTTAAAGTAGCGCTTGTAAAAGTTCTTCGTTTCTACGAATACACTATATATTGCATTTATAAACAAACAATTATGTGAAAGACATGATTTACAGTATATATAGAAAAACAAGAAATAAGCAGCTCCTTTTTAATTTAACAAAAGTTTTCATAGAAAGGAAATATTTTACGGAGTTATTATTTTTAAAATTTGGAAATTTTAATTAATATATTCATATCAGGATTTCAGGATTGTAAGATAAATACAAAAAATTTCTTCAAAGATTCGCTCAAAAAAAAAAAAAAAAAAGAAAAAAAGAAGATTTGAGATAGTGTAACTACGTGCAGAAAAATGTAAATACATATATTTAAAGTATATATGAAAACATTTTTTTATTACCGGATGATAATACGTTCATCTTTATATTGAATATTTTTACAATTCTTGTATTTGAGTTCCTATTGAAAAAAAATTATTAATAAAAGAAAGATAAAGTCAGAGTATAATTTATAAATGTGGTATTTATAGTATACGTGGAAACAGATACTGCACTTATTGAAATGACTTCTTTCGTAGCGTGCTGTGTTTTCATGGGCTTATACATAGGAGAATCGATGAGCTATGCGTGTCTTGTATGTCTGCTGCTGTGAGGATATCTGCTGATGTATGTGTGTGCGTGTGTATGACACGTGCATATGAAAGTGTCTCTTACATGTAAATCAATACATTATATAAAACAAAAAATATCAATGATTAATTTGGATACATATATATATATATATATATATATATATATATAGT